TGGGAGGAAGCTGGAGCACCCGGAGAGAACCCACGCAGACATGGGGAGAACATGCAAACTCCACACAGAAAGGCCGGGGCAACCGGGGTTTGAACTGTGAGGCGACAGTGCTAACCACTGCACCACCGTGCCGTCCCAGTTTTTTTAGTGTTATTTTTAATTTATTACACCATTTTGTAAGACTGTGTTGTAGTGTGTGTGTTTTTGAGGGCAAAGTTTGGTTTTTCAGCAAGATTGAATGGATTTGAACAGAGAGCTTCATTTTGACCTTAAAATATGATGTTTGGGTTATTGAGTGAGAAGTTTTGAGAATGTATATATATATATATATATATATATAAATATATACACACAGTATGGATCTAGTTCATATTGAACCAACTTCATTCCACAGTAGCAGTAGACGAAAGACTAAAAACCTGCTCCAAACAGAGTGTGTGTGCGCGAGAGAGCTAAATCAGACACACACAACTCTCCTATTTAGTGCCATATCATTGCAGCTGAATGTATTTCCTCATGCAACAAACAGAGTACCATTGCTGTTTGTATAAAGTAACTTAATTATCACATTATTATAATTAATATTGTTTGTTATTTTAATAACTGTTCCTTTGAAAAATTCTACTGCTTGTCAAAAGGAAGACATATTTTCAATGTAACATTGGCCTATATCGTGTTTTTGTTGTTCTTATAATGTCTTTTCATTGTTTATTAATTATACATTTTTTATTGTTTATATGTGAATTAGTGCTCTGGCAACATTGCCACCTAAATATTCATGGCAATAGGCCAGAGAGAGAGAGAGAGAGAGAGAGAGAGATCTCATCTCATGGAAACAGGTTTCTGCCACTACATATCAAAGTTTCCTCCTCACTAGAGGAAGAGGTGTCCAGGCTGAACCCTGATTCTTCTCACAATAGGTGTTACAATAACAATCACAATAGAAAGTAAACTCAATCATGCGTGTCTTTATGCAGCAAACTTGCAGACATCAGCCCGGTTGCACATACAGGTCCGTGCGTGGCGGAGGCATCCTGATCCTCATACTGATCCTTCAGAAATGCTTGGGAAAATGTAGTGTGTGTGGAAGCTACCGTGCTATTCGGTCAATAAAAGCGCTTCGTTACTGAAAAGCTATTTGATTCAGAAAATAGCGACGCTACCACCAAGCCACTGAGAAATGTAGTCAAACTAGTAACGGTGCTACTTGTAGCGACGCTACTGCCCAACACTGGTTGTTCATTTCTAAGTGAGGTTACAGCCCGTTGACAAAAAGGCAGTAAAAAAAGGGATTCATTAATAAATAAGTGATTTCACTGGAAAAACTACATATAGTCCCTTTAAAAGGTGCAATGCTGATCCTGTAGCATTAGTAACAAAGACCTTTTGCCACATACCTGTTTAATTTTAAGGATGTTGCTTTCTGTTAATAGTTTCAAAGGTTTTGATAATAGCTTTCCTTCAAAGTTTTCTCCACAGAAATCCACAGTTGCTCATGAAGTTACTAATCAATGTAACCAACCAACTCTACTGCCTTCAGTAGACCTGACCTGACTGCCCCTACAGCAGTGCAATACCGTCTATCACAGCATAAACTGACTGACTTTTACCGCCCATTGCAATCCAGAGGGGAGCGTTTTAACCAATTTTATCATTCAGTAACAAAGACACAATTAAACATGCTTTCATATCCTTACTAGCTCTGCCTTTACAGAATGGCTTTCTTTAACAACTAATAAGTTTTAGTTTGAGATGGTTTTTACATGGCTAATAATTGTATTATTGAATGTTTTCTTTTATTGTGAATTAATGTTATATTTTTATTGTATAATGGATTGCTGCTTGTATCTCATGTAGCCTAGATGTCATAAATGCTGATTATGTCCTGCCATTGCCTTATGGCTTTCTAACTCTGTAAAGTATGTTTGTTGCTGTTGAACTGCTGATATAGACATTTATGCAAAAATGAATGCTGGGACTGTTACGGGGTGTGGTGTGTGGACAGAGAGGACCCAAATGCAGCGTTCAGAGGGAAGGAGGTTTATTGGGGGAAAAAAGGGTGAGAGGGACTGGAGTGGAGGGAGAGGAGGACGTCGGGGAAGTACTGGCACGGGGAACCAAGGAGACCGGGGGCCAGGGAGCCGGGGAACACAGGGGCCAAGGAAGCGAGGAGAGGCAGGGGAACAGGGAGGACGCCGAGAGGGAGGTCCGAAGGGGAGTGGGCCAGTGGATGAGCCCAGCCGAACGGAGGACGAGGGTGAGTGTACCTGGGAGGGAAACAGACAGAGAGACAAGGTTAGGGGGAGAGACAATGACAAGGCACAGGGTAAGTTTGAAAAAAACAAGAAACGAGGAAGCCTGAACACAGGAGTGGCACCAGGTATGGAGCAACGACGATCAAGCCAGGATGGTGTGGAGAACCGGGGTTGAAATACAGGCTGGGATGAGGTTGATTACTGGCAGGTGTGGCAGGCTGACGAGGTGGATGATGGGTTGCAGGTGCAGGTAGTTGGCTGGGCTCAGGAGCAGAGGGAGAGAGAGCACACGGGGGAGAAAACACAGAGAGGCGGGCAGAGAACAGGAAACCAAGGGAAAAAGCAGAAAAACTGATAAAAAGTAGAAAAAACCAGGACACTCACCGTCAGCCGGGCTGCCACCACAACAGGGACAAAAGCTTCAACGATTTTTGTGTACAATTTATTTATTTCAGTGCAAAAAATCATTCAGGGACACTGTCTGAAAACCATCCCTGAACACTGTAAAGATATGGTGAACTTGTCTCTTCAGAGGTTGGCCAATAACATCATACTGTGATCTGCCTGTTTTCTGCAGAGACGTGTAAGTTCTGTCCCCTTGACTTGGTTTCACTTTTTTTCTTGCTTTCCTATGGAGAAAAAGATCAGTCATGGGCTGTTGCCTAAAAGTCTCCAGTGCATCAACATACCATCTAAAACATAACATGCAGATGGAGTAACATACCAAAGGAACATCATGTAGATTGTGTAGAAGACGTTCACACTTAGAGATACACCAGCATACAGCCCAGGGAAGCACTGCACTGTAAGGTCTGCAATGTTGCACAGGACCTACAGTAAGAAAATGACATAAAAGGCAGAAGGCCAGGGGAAAAACAGAAGAAACTGTAATTGCTCCATTGTGTTTTAGATAACAGAATTGTTTAAAATGGTAACACAATCTCATCATATCATTATGATATAATAGCGCATCTCTGTCCATGAACAATGTAGTTAATTTTATTATTGTCCCGCTATACAGAACTAGTTATCAGAATTATTTTACAATCCCTGAAAACCAAAGTAAATTCCTCCTTTAAGTCTTGCAGTCATGTAATTAAATGCATAAAATTCACAAATTATGTGATGGTCACATAAATTTGAAGATGAAGGCTGTAAAAGTTATGTTCAGATTTTCAGCTATTAATAATGAATAACAGCAGCTACAACAACTAGAAACTTTCTGTATAAGAACAGTTACATTGCATATTTGCATTTTACTGTTCGGACAGTTTATTCTTTGGACATATTTATTTAATATATACATATTTGTTCTAGCTCTTAATACCTTTAACAAAGACAGTTACCCTTGGAGAAAAGGTAAATCCATCTGTCCTCCCAAATAAGAAGATACCAGTAACTCTGAGCTGATATGATCCAGAGTCTGACTCAGTGACGTCATTGATGATGATGCTGCAGTTCTTCTGATTCACGTCAGGCTCCAATAGTGACACTCGTCCTTCAAACCCAGACTGAACGTTTCTGTTGTTCTTGCTAGTGTGGAATATCATGTCTGAATCAACACATCTTGGTTTAGATTGTTCGCATTTGTACCAAATTATATTTTGGGGTGTGAAGTCATAACTACTGGTGAAAGAACACGGTATCACAACACAGAGTCCAGCCTCTGCTGTTGTCTCTCCTTCATTAAGAGTGATACAGAATCCACTTTGACAGTCTTGTCTTTGCCCCACTGTTCCTGTTAATGCAAACAGTGAGAGAAAAACTGGGAGGATATGTATATTTTAACAATACATCAGATTTATTAATTGAAGAAAGGCCACTACTCCGGACAGAAACCTATACTGTTTTTGTTTTATATAACTAAAGTTGTCAGCAGTGTTGAGCAAACACCACAACGGAATTTCAGAATTTTACATATTTCTGTATCCCCGATATTGTTGAAAGTAGAAAACAGTAATTTATATAACTATCAGGGTGGGGGGAGACACAGAAGAACCCCAGGTAGGACATGTATTGTGGTACATTGTTATGAACTAGTACTGATTATCTTTAAGGTTGGCACATAACAAGATTACAATAATGATTCATACCTTTGTCAGCATTGCTGTCTCTCGCAGAGAACAGCAAAGTCACCCAGAAAAGAACAAACATCATCTCGGGACATTCAGTCTGTCCCTCCACTGGACAACTATAAAACTATAAATGTGTTTTTTTTCAATCTGTTCAGTTGATGAAAATGAAACAAAGGAAGCTCCAGAGTTGACATTACACATCTTAATACAGGATGCTGAATGTTCAGTTATTCCACAGATGCTTAATTAAATTTGGCCACCACTTCACCCAGGGTGGGCACAGGCAGAAAAAATCTAAACCTAACCTAAAATAACATACCCAAAATGATTCAGGAATAACTCCACAACCATTTGGCCTAGATGCATAATTGTGGTCTCCTTTGAAAAGTCAGAAGCTAAGGAATATAAATCCATTGTATATTAACATATTTATTTTACTATTACAGACTACATAGAGATGCAATAAAGAACAAATCTGATATTTTCATCCTCGTCTGGTACAAAAAGCTATATTTTTAAACCATCAAAACCATCATAAGGAAGCTTATAATGCAACTGAACATCTTCTAATACACCTAGAATGCAATTGTAACTGTAAGTCTGATGAAAATAAACTAAAATACAACAGTTATCATACAACATTTTCATATACCAGGCGAATGCCCACATTTTGGCAATATTTACTGTTAAAATACTTTCTGTCCATACAACCAAGTTCCAAATCACAAAACATTGAAATATTGATAAAAACAGTCAGTATTCATCAACATTCCTGTCACCAAAAGCACACCCATGCATGTCTATGTATCTCCAACGGGTCGGCCACAAAGTGGCCAAAAACACTGTGTGTTCTTAAGTGGCACGTTCCCTCTCTGCAGAAATGTCGAGAGCAGGCAGGCAGCTCGCAGGTATTGCACAATAATCAAGATGGTGCCCGCTGAGACTCGAAGCAACAACATCGGCGGGTTTTGGACTGAAAAATAAATTCAGTTTTCAACAGGTTTTAAATGAATGCTTGCTTTCCTTGTGATCTAAGTTTTGGTTTTTTGGTTACAGAGATAGAGTAGTTTTGGGGAATTTTACTGTTTCTGCCACTTTATCGGAGTCAGAAATAAATGCCATGGCACTTTTTTTAATTTGGTGAAGTCTGAAATTGTGTCAAACAGCAATATTAGGCTGTATTGCCTCAATTGTTGAGTGTCTATGGGATCATAAAACATAATCGTAATCCCATACGCATCCAATAATTAAGCAAAACTAAGCATGTAAACTAAGGGGTGGTGAGGTGGTTCCTTTTTCCAAGCTTTGTCTCAGGGATGGCCCACAGTCCCAGACTTTGAAAAGCCCTGATTTGATGATTCAGATGATGGTCCTGCCATCTTCCCTACACTCAGTGGAAGGTTGGCCAATAACATCATACTCTGGTGATGGGTCTGTCTTCTGCAGTGACATGTACGTTTTGTCCTCTTGGTTTGGTTTCACCTTTTTTCTTGTGTTCCTATGGAGAGAAGAACGAGTGGAACATGATGTGTTGTCTTAAGTCTCCACTGCATTGACAGAGCCCTCAAAGCATAAAATGATGATGTAGTAACATACCAAAGGAACATCACGCAGATTATGCAGATGACATTGACAATGAGAGATATGACCGCGACGGCCCAGGGAAGCACTGCACTTGGTCCATGTTGACCTGCTTTTAGAAATGACATACAGTAAAGTGTTCTACTCAGTGGCTATTGTGTTAGCTACACACCCCCATTTACCGAAACATTAATCTTTAGATAAAATTATCTAGTAATATTCAAATTATAGCCGATATGGGATTTATATAAACAGCTGAAGGCCAAGAAGAAACAAGGGAAAACTTTTCAGCATAATGTACATTTTCATACAATCAGCTCAACAAAGCGTTTCTTTTATATAAACCAACCATAGCCTCTTATAGACAGTGTCACCCAATAGGTTTCTGTAGGACTGTCTTCAGGGGCGGCTGTGGCACAGGAGGTAGAGCGGGATGGCCGTTAATCAGAAGGTTGGCGGTTCAATCCCTGGCTCCCCCTGGTTGCGTGTCGAAGTGTCCTTGCGCAAGATACTAAACCCCGATTTGCCCCTGGCTGGCTATTCCGCCAGCGTATGAATGTGTGTGACTGGTGAATGCAGATGTAGTGTAAAAGCGTTTTGAGTGGTCGAAAAGACTAGAAAGGCGCTATACAAGTACAGAGCATTTACATTTACAAGGTTTGATTTGGGTTGACCTAATTCATTGTTCATTCATTGTCTGCTAGGGCAGCCAAAAACAAAATCAAAAAAACTTATTGGTGAAAGAGGGTGGAGCTTGAGATGAGAAGATGTGAACAAATGGCTTAGTGCGACTGAGTGAAGTACCAGCTATTCAAGCAACGATAAAGAAGAAGGGTTGGAAAAAAATAGCTGAATAGGTTGCATATTGTGCAGCTTTTCTGAGTGCAGTTTAAAGAGAAAAGTCCCACCCTCAACAGTCAATTTTAGTAGTTCCTGAACAAGAGAGGTGTGTTTGATGCTTTGCACTTGATGTCAGATCTTATGTAAACACCCAAGAGATTGTCAGGCTGTAAAACAGTTCTATGTTGACTTATATACAGTCTGCTAATAATCAGTGTGTCAAATAATGTGCAGTAAGTGAATAAGACTATCAAAGTAGAACAAAGGTGCTTTGGACAGTTTCCTTCACTCTTCTTTTAATCTACGCCAGACAGCCATGAAAGAAAATGGTGTGGGTGTGTGTGGGTGTGTGTGTGTGTGTGTAAAGGAAACCCCTCACTGATACACATACAGGTCAGAACCTCTGACTGATTTCTGCATCCAGAGCTGTTCAGGATCTTTGGATACACTGCAAAAAAGCAGAATCACAACATCAAACAAAGCACACAGGAAGCTGACACACCCACACCAGGAACTCACACCCAGAGTTTTGCCTGTAAACACAAGGATCATAACAAAATGTTAAGTGTAAAATGTGACTTAAAACTTCCTTTTAAGAAGATTAGTACAGCCCACTTACAAGTCACAGTTACGTCAGCATATGTAGTCACAGTCGTGTCCAGGTGTTTTGCTGTACAGATGTACTGTCCAGAATGTTCTACAGTCACATTATGGATAACAAGTGTGGCTGATCCAGTGTCGTTCTGCAGGCCAGTCTCAGGTCCATTACACAGGTTTATGTTGGAACCAAGTACAGTCCACGTGATATGAGATAGAGGGAAACTTTCAACACTGCAGGTTAGATTCAGAGTCTCACCCTCCTTCACACGTGTTTTCCCAGTGATTTTAACTTCCTTTACATCTATGAGACAAAGTGATATATGATATTATTTACAATGTTATATAGCACCTCTAAATTCCCAACTTTCCTGTAAGAAGACTGGATTTATAAAATTGAACACAGCTCAGAAAACCATCAGAAGTGACATGAGAGAACATCTCTTAACAAATATTTTAGATGAAAGGTAAATGTGATAACAGACAGTAGGTGCTACTCACAGGTCACATTCAGAGTCACTGTCTCCTCTGTAGTGATGTTGTTTGTGAACCTGACCCTGCAGGTGACATTGGTGCCGTGGTGTTCAGCTGAAGAGTTAAACATCAAAGTTGAGCTGTGTCTTTGTGTGACAGCAGTCTCAGTCTTGAAAGCAGTGATGTTTCCTGTGATGTGAGAGTCGTTCTGTCCTGGTCCTCTCCACAGCTAGGTGATTTCAGGATCAGATCCAGAGCAGAGACCAGGAGCAGTGCAGGTCAGTGTGGTCTGCTGTCCCTCTGTTAGTGGAGGAACCCTAACTGTGGGCTTCTGGATCAGATCTAATGGGAGAGCAGTCCATGAGTGGAATCAGGTGAGCAGCATGATGATCATCATTCACTAACATTTGGTCCAAAACAATCAGATACTTTGGCAACAACATTATTTATGCTCCATTAAGACTATGAATACCACAAACATGTTGCAGTTCATTAGCACAACAATTAACTTCATTTTTATATTTTTGTTGCAGCTGGTCATACCTTTAACAGAGACAGTTGCTCTTGGAGAGAATGTAAATCCCTCTGCCCTCTCATACCAGGTGACACCAGTAACTCTGAGCTGATATGATCCAGAGTCTGACTCAGTGAGGTCACTGATGATGATGCTGCAGTTCTTCTGACTCACGTCCGGCTCCAATAGTGACACTCGTCCTTTAAACCCAGACTGAACGTTTCTGTTGTTCTTGTTAGTGTGGAATATCATGTCTGAATCAACACATCTTGGTTTAGATTGTTCGCATTTGTACCAAACTATATTTTGGGGTGTGAAGCCATAACTTGTGGTGAAAGAACACGGTATCACAACACAGAGTCCAGCCTCTGCTGTTGTTTCTCCTTCATTAACAGTGATACAGAATCCACTTTGACAGCGTGTTCTTTTCTCCACTGATTCTCCTGTTAATGCAAACAGTGAAAGAAAAACAGGGACAGAGAATATTTATATTTTGACAACACACCATATTTAATAAACAATGAAGACATATACAGATACATATACTGTTTTTGTTTTATATAACTGCTGTTGTCAGCAGAACTGAACAAATACAACAATGGAATTTCAGCATTTAACATATTTCTTCATCCCAAATATTGTTGGTAAAGAAAATAATCATTTAACTTACTATTAAAAATTTATCCCAGAGTTTCCAGGTAATTCAATAAATGCTGTGAGTAATGCTGCTAATGAGCTGGTAAATTCAGGGTGAAAAAACTAAATAACTTATTTGGAAGAACACTGTTATTCATATCTTTAATGTTGGGTATCACAGCAAGATTATAATAAACATGCACCTGTGTCTGCAATGCTGTCTCTCGCAGAGAAAAGCAAAGTCGCCCAGATGAGAACAAACATCCCGATTTGATGATCAATCCACAGGACAAACTTCACACTGAAAGTGCAGTAAACATGCAGAGACTGAACCAAAGGAAACTCCACAGCTGACATCTCAGATCTTAATACAGGATGTTGCATGTTCAGTTATTCCATAGTGAGGGGAATACACTTTACCCCAGGGTGTAACTGACCTTTTTCCTTAAGTTTGTAAAAGGACTTTGACATCTGGGCCCTGTTTCAGAAAGCATGCTTAACAAACTCTGAGCTTATCCCTGAGCTCTGAGTTGATTGAGCTTGAGGTGGGAAACTCTGAATTTCGGTTCCAGAACAGCAGATCAGAATAAGTTCAATCAACCCTGAGTGTTTTTGATGGAAGCCCATGCGATACTACGATTCACCATGGCAACGGGTAAACAAAGGCAGAGTCTCCATTTTAATCGGGTAGAGCTAGTGATATGAATGTGTGCCAACGCGGACCATGATAGGTTCTAAAACGCAGGAGTGGAAGACGGATCAATGCGTTAAAATTATTAGGCTACTATACAGCGTTGCTCATTCATCATTTACCAGACAGGAATTTCCTTAATGAATGATAAAGTGCTGCAGCCCATTACATTCGGCTATATTTATTAAGCTGTAACCCGACGGGACAAAATGCCGGTGGCAATCGCTTACCTAATTATGAAAATAGGTAGGCCTATGGATCAAATACACAGTTTACTCGTGGACCTGTGATTGTAAAGTCAGTCATACCCAGCAGGTTAGCTGATGAATTGTTTTTATAGTGGAAAATGTGTCTATAGGTTTAAGTTTTAGACGTCTATTTTACATGAATAAATCTTGCTCATTTTGTGTCACTTATTAATTCTGTCAAAACACATTCAGACTATCAGCAGGTAATGATGAAAAACTCACATTTAAACCTATAGGCCTGTTTGTTTCAGCTGCACCACAGTCACCTTCACTCAGAAATAGTCACATTATCTCCAGTTGATAATGACGATAGGAATGTTCCAATCTGTGCTACTAGTCTACAATATGAAAGATTACTGTTCATTGATCAGTTTTATAGGTAACATATTGAACAGTGATTACTGCAGTAACTTAGCACACAGTAAGTGTTTTCAGTGCGACTGTCCACAGAGTCACAGCGTTAAAGAGGACATAGCTGAGGATAAATCCACAATCTGCAGAGATCTGTCCATACATCGATGACAGATTGATCATGTTTGCATGAAAAACTAATAGCCTATCTAACCGGGATTTTAAAGTTTTTAAAGATGTAAATGCGTTCAAATGTGTGCTTTGATATCAACAGAATGAGGAAATTAAACTGTTTCAGACAGCCGCCTCATGCCGCTTTCAGGTCATTCAACCGCGATTTTTCGCCTTGCGACGCTTTCCTTGCGTGAGTACATTCGCTGCAAGTGTTCGCACACAATGCGAGAAGGCAATTTTAACGCGATAGCGTGAATAAACATTAAACAACAAACTCGCCATTACTGTATGAACCCAAAGTAAACCTTTTGCTGTGATTAAATAGCAATAAATGGATTAAATTGATGCCGAAATAACTACAACAAGATGCAGATTTGTTAAACATATGAATTCATGCTTTGTCAGGTCTGTCAGCAAGACAGCAGGACAACAACTTCTAAAATGTTTGTTTTCTCGATGGAGTTTGGATCGATCAGGGCTATGCTATGCTGACTTGGTCCCAGTAAAGTACGATAGCTGGAATAAAGTTACAGACACATGTTTTCTGAACTCACCAGGTAGTTCAACCTCCTCGCTTTCTTTTCTCCAAGTAATGTCCAGTTTTGTCCGTTTTTTTTATAAATATGAAGTCGAAGTCCAACAGAGCTAACGATGCTAACAACAACCCTGGAACAAGATGTGCACGGAAGGTAGCTGCTGAGAATCTCCAGTGAAGACAAATCAACGTTGAAATCCCAAAAACTAAAGTAAAAAGCTAATTTAATAAAAGCTGTAACTCTGAGCTCCTCCCGCGAGTAAACGGCGTAGTTGTCAGAGCACAATCCAACCGAGTACGGGTGTTTATTTGTCCAATGGTTGCAGCGCTGCTCCCTGCTCCTCTCCCTCAAGTTTAGAAGCTCTCAGCCGGCCAGCAGATTTTCAATCCCCCGCTCTGCCTGGACCTCTCCATGCAACCCTCTGAAGCCCCGGGCTCCGCGGGAGGGGAGGAGTCAGAGAGAAACTGATGGTTTTCCAACTTATCATCCTCCTCCTGAAGAGGTTAGGTTCACAGCATCAGTTGCCGGAGTTACTGATCTAGGGATTATCTGATCTCGCTCTCTGAAACGGAAAACTCAGTTTCCCTTGCAGGCTTAACATACTCAAAATTTTCACTAATCCGGCTTTCTGAAATGGGGCCCTGTTCTCAAAAAGTCTTTTGTACTGTAAATTAACTTTAACACAATAATCTCTACAAAAAATGCAGCTTTGGGAACAAACTAAAGCACTCTTCTCCAGCACAATCGACCACTCAAGATCAAAAAGTGTTTTGATATTATTTTGATATTAGTTAGGGAAGAATTAATCACTTTAACAACTTGTCCAAAAACTTATTTTAAAAACAGATCTTGTGTTTTACCTCTTTCGAGCTCGTTCTCCGGCTCTCCTTCATGAGAAGTGTTTAAGTTCTGAACTGACCCTTCCTCTCCTCACTTTTCTATTCCTTCCCTCTTTGTGCAACAACAAGGTTTCAGGAAGTGCCTAGACATTGCTGAGCAATATTTCTCCTGTCCTGAGACTGGCAGGCTTTTACACACTTATAATTTTGTAATATCACATATGCATTTACACCTTTAACAATGAATAATGAAAAGAAAATGTTTTTTGTTTGCCCCTTTACCCTCTACTGAAGTAATGTAAAACGTTTTGAAAAGGGAAGCAGTGTGTCAATGTGTGATTTTTATCAAGTTGAGAAACCGACAAACCAGCACAAGCATGGAACACTTCTCCTAAAGTGTTTTTTTCTTGTGATGTGTGTTTTGAAGTGTTAATATTGATCAACTGTATGTCATATATAGCTTACTCTAAAAATCACTTCAGCAATCCACAACACACACTGCACACATACTGTGCATCGCTGTTGGGTCTCTTTATTACTAACTAATATCTACAGTGATGATGGTCAAATGAACATTGTTATTAGTCATGTATTAAAAACATACCTTAAGACAGATCAAGTGCATTAAGTACCAACAGAGTCATACAGAAATAATCTGCTTTCAGCATTTCCCCATTTCAACTGCAAGCAGCCTCTTTGAATTGGAAGCACCTCTGCATACTTATGTAGATACTTTCCCCAGAAAAGTCACTGTAGTGTTTATTCATTTAAACATTGCCTTGGTACCACTGTTTCTCAGTCTCTGTAATAATTTACCGTGGTACCATATCTAACTATTTTTAGCAAAGAACTGGCTACAGTTTGGTTTCAATAATTTACTGGTCAAAAATCTAATTTTGTTTATATAGCTCAATATCACAAATTTACCTATGCATGTGACACTTTCTATTCTTATGCTGGGTACACACCAAAGGATTTTTTACATCTTATAAGATTTCTGATGTTGACTGTGTTTTCACCCTACATCGATTTGATTCTCCTTTGGCCTGATGGGCTTCAGCACATAAAACTTTGTTATTTTTTTTTAATTTTCATTTATTTATTTAAAAAGGGAAAGCATACAGTAAAACATAAACATTACCATTTGATGCACTGTACCAGATTATAGCTTCAAGCTAATTCACATCTGCAGTCCGTTGGCAGGTCATGGTTAAAAGCAACATAATAATAAATAAATGTGCTAAGGCTGACCAGTTCATTAGAATGTCACTAAAACTTTATTGTTTTTTTTATCGTTACATGGAGTTTATGATGGATTTTTTGTTGGAGTCTGTGTTTTGCTGGGTTGTTTAATGGTGTTAGTGCACTGCATTGCGTTAGCAGCAATGTTGTCACTGTAGTCTGCAAGAGACCGGGGAGAGCACATGTAGCTAGAACCTGAGCCGATTCCTTCACATAAGAAGCAGAATAGTAGCTGCTTTGTGGTAAGCAACAGCGAAAACAAGTGTGTTGTTCATTTCTAAGTCAGGTTACAGCCCGTTGACAACAAGGCAGTAAAAAAGTGATTCATAAGTGATTTAATTGGAAAAACTACATATAGCCCATAGCCGTCAGTAAGTTAGAAGCTGATTAAATGAACATTAATAGCTTAAACAAAATGCTTTATTTGCACATTTTATTTTATAATGTATAGTTTCTATGTTATTTAATGGAGCTGTGAGTCTGAGTTTTTGCATGTAAGTTAACATTAAAGTTAATTTATGTTTGCAGGCAGTCTTCTTGATTTTTATTTTAACTGGCTTTTCTGTTCTCTTATTTTCACAAGGTGGGAGCTCAGCCATATTGTGGGACCAAGACCATCTTCAGGATTCCAACCTGTAAAACTGTAAGTCCATTATTACTAACTAACATAACGTTATCATGGCCCATTATTGTAGAATGGCCCACTAAAATTACTAGATATATTTACATTTAGTTAGTGATTTATTGGATTTAAGATACTCTGAACTTGGTTTAAGCCATTTGCTATATTAAACATTTTACATGACAGCTAAAGATGAGCTTAATTAGTAGATAAAATTATTGCTTGTGGCAGCTTGTTGGTAATGCTTCGGTAAAACAGACCTGTATTATGAGTTACTATAAGTTATGATGGTCTAAGAACGTATATTTGAGAATAGTTGTGAATAAAACCAAAATTGTGTGTCTTGGTCCTCCTGTCACTAGAAATGAGAGTAAGTGTCCAATTTTTCCATTGACTCCCAGACTAAAATTGGATAGGAAAAAGTCTCTGAAAATACACCTGTCTGTACTCTAACTTATAGATAGGAGGGTGATGATTGAATACTCAAAGACTTGACATCAAAGCACTCACAGAAGTCATGTACATGTCCCTTACTGTGTCTGAGTCCACCATGTACCAAAATTCCCACCAAGTCACATTCAAAGGTATTGATTGTCTTGTGTAATCAGAGTGCAGATTAGCCTTTATAGATTCACTCAAAGGTGTTCAGATAATGTGAATTTCTGTACCAGTGATTGTTTTGTGTATTTCATTTTTTTGCAGGAGAATCACAACTGCTGTCACCACTGCCCACCACCATCCTCATCACCTGGCTCCCCCCACC